ACTGTCCTCTCCTCCCACGACCCCTCACGGCTCGTCTTCCACATCGTCACCGACGCCACCACCTTCCCTGCCTTCATGGTGAGTCTGCCTCTGCTACGTTGGGGATATGCGTTTGTAGGTGGTGCGGTGCGTTAACGCGAGTGACATGCTCTGGTGCTGATTCAACTCCCGCTGTCTTGGCTCCTCAACTCCACTGTGCTCTCCTCTCCTCCCACGACCCCTCACGGCTGGTCTTCCACATCGTCACCGGCGCCACCACCTCATTTCCTTCCTACGTGGTGAGACTGCTTCTGCTACACCGGGGATATTGGCTTATGGGTTGTTCGGTGTGTTAGTGCGAGTGGCGTGCTCTGTTGCTGGTTTAACTCCAGCATGCTGGCCTGGGCGTGTCTGCTGCTCTCAACTCCACTGTTCTCTCTTCTTACAACCCCTTCCGCCTGCGCTTCCACGTCGTCACCGACGCCGCCTCCTTCCCTGCCTTCGTGGTAAGAAGAGAACATCATCAGGATGTGCGCTCGCTCATGGGTGGTGCTTAGTTTTAGGTTGACTTGTTTTGATACGTCACCCCTCTCGCCTGGTCACGCCGTCACCGACGCGATGCCACCTTCTTTCCTGCCTTCCTGGTGACCCTTCCTTTCAGGGGGGTGTGCGCGCTCGAGTCGAGGATGTGCTGTTGGTTGGTGTGAGTGTAACAACACCCTCTCCTTCCCACCCTCCTTCCAGGTGTGGTTCTCCCGCCACCCACCCGACTCGGCATCACTAGAGGTGCGGCGGGTGGAGGGCGAGAGCGGGTGGCTGAACGCGTCCTTTGCGCCCGTGTTGCGACAGATGCAGGACGCCGGTGCCAAGAGCTTCTACTTCTCCGCTGCTGCTGCTGTGAGTGCAGGGGAAGAGGGCAGTCAAGGGGGAGGGCTTGGGGATAGGAGGAGGGGGGGGTGTGTTAGGTGCGAGAGATTTAAGGGTGCTACGGCAGATGCAGGATGTCAGTGCCAAGATCTTCTAATTCTCCGCTGCTGCTGCCGTGAGTCTCCTGGGTGAAGTTGGAAGAGGAGAGGCGGAGTGGGGAGTGGGGAGGGGATGGGAGTGGGCTGTGGTTATGAGTGGTGAGGATGAGCTTCTTTTTCTCTGCAGCCCCTGTTGTGAATCAAGTAGTTGAAAGGGGGTGCGGGGTGGTCACAGGGGGTGATGGGGGTTCTAAGATGGTAAGCAAGCACCGCTGCCACCATCACCCTTCTTCATCATGGACCATAGGCCTGTCAATGGTCCATGATGAAGAAGGCTCTATCACCCAAATAACAGTAGTTCAATTTCCCCCACGCATATATGTGTGCACATATGCACACAGACTCACAGCCCAACCCCTCTCCCTCACACGCACGCACTCACCTCCCTATTGAACCACTTGCGCCTTCCTCCCCTTCTCTCATGTCCACTCTTCCCCACACAACCCCCCCACACACACACAGGGCGAGGCTAGCGACCCCATCAAGTTCCGCAACCCCAAGTACATGTCGCTGCTCAACCATCCCTCCACCCCGCACCCCTCTCTCCCCCCACCTCACACATCCCCCGCGCACACCTTCAGGGCAAGGGCAGCGACTCCATCAAGTTCCCCAACCCCAAATACATGTTGCTGCTTAACCCTCCTTCCCCCAACCCACACACTTACAAAGCCCACCTCCCCTTTACTTTCGAATCCCCTCTCCCCCACACACACAACTCCCATTCCTCCCTGCCACACACACAGGGCGAGGCTAGCGACCCCATCAAGTTCCGCAACCCCAAGTACATGTCGCTGCTCAACCATCTGCGCTTCTACCTGCCACTCCTCTTCCCTGCGCTGCATCGCATCCTCTTCCTCGACGACGATGTCATCGTGCAAAGAGACCTCTCCGCTCTTTATTCCCTCGACATGAACGGGTACGTGCGTGCGTCTACCCCTTGCCTGCACTGCTTCTACACTACCTGCCCCTCCTCTTCCCCTTGACGACGGCATCATCGTGCAGAGGGACCTTTTCGGCTCTCTCTGCGCTTAACATGAACGGCTGCGTGCTGCTCCGCTCCTATGTTGCTCTTGCCGCACTCATGATGCTCATCTCATCAGCACTCCCTTCGCTCCTCTTCACCGCGCTGCACCGCATCCTCTTCCTGGACGACGATGTCATTGTTCAGCGTTCCGGCCTTGCCTGCACTGCATTGTTTCTGCCCTCTTCTCTCACTCCTCTTCACCGCGCTGCACCGCATCCTCTTCCTTGACGACCACGTCATCGTGCAAACAGAACTCTCGGCTCTTCATGACCTTGACATGAACGGATGTTTTTTCTTCTCGTGCCTGCATGGCATTGTTGGCACTGCCTTCGCTCTTGCCTACACCCATTGGCATTGCCTCTGCCTTTGCCTGCACCGTTCAACATTCCCTACTCTCCTCCTTTCCACACTGCACCACCGTCTTTTCCTCAATGATGGCGGGATCTTGTAGTGCGACCCTCCACCCTCCTCCCTGAACGTGTGCTGTTGAGTTCTGCACTGAACGTGTGCTGCATGTGTGCTGCATGTGTGCTGCACGTGTGCTGCATGTGTGCTGCACGTGTGCTGCATGTGTGCTGCATGTGTGCTGCATGTGTGCCGCATGTGTGCTGCATGTGTGCTGCACGTGTGCTGCATGTGTGCTGCATGTGTGCTGCACGTGTGCTGCATGTGTGCTGCATGTGTGTTGCATGTGTGCTGCACGTGTGCTGCATGTGTGCTGCATGTGTGCTGCATGTGTGCTGCATGTGTGCTGCATGTGTGCTGCACGTGCAAACTTCTCTTTCTAGACGACTTTTGAGGCGCCTCGAAACTCTTCTTCCTGAACGTGGGCTGTTGAGTTCTGCTGCACATGTGCTGCATGTGCTGCATGTGCTGCATGTGCTGCATGTGCTGCACATGTGCTGCATGTGCAAACTCATCCTCTAGAGAGTCACTCTTGCGGAATCTTTACACCTAATCCACCTCAATACAGCTCATCACTGTCTGTCTGAACTTGGCCTACCCTCCCTCGAATTTTTCCCCTACCTCCGGTCAGAGCAGAGGAGACGTGCTGATGGGAGTCCTTCTGCTTTCACCACTACCTCAGCTTCATGGCCTCTCAGCTCAAGCTTCTAACCATGAACCGTGGCTTCGCTTATTTCCCCCCCCTTCCGCCATCAGTGCTGTGGACGGAGCAGTGGAGACGTGCAAGGGGTCGTTCCACCGCTTCCACCGCTACCTCAACTTCACAACCACTCCGCTCAAGTGCCCAACCCTACCATTCCCCTTGGCTTATGCTCCCTTCCCCATCAGCGCGGTGAACGGAGCAGTGGAGACGTGCAAGGGGTCGTTCCACCGCTTCCACCGCTACCTCAACTTCTCCGACACGCGGCTGAGAGGGCGCTTTGACCCTGAGGGGTGTGCGTGGGCGTATGGCATGAACGTGTTCGACCTGGACGGGTGGCGGCGGGCCAATGTGACTGCCACGTACCACTACTGGCAGGAGCAGGTGAGCATCCAGAAGGAACAGGGACGGAGGAGAGGAGGAAGGCATTTGTGGTGGGGGAGATGGTGGGGCTGTGTTGTGAGGTTTTTTCAGTGGGGTATGGCATGAACCTGTTTGACCTGAACCGTTGGCGGCACACCAATGTGACTACAACGTAGCACTACGGGCAGGAGCAGGTGAAGGGGGAAGGGAGTGAAAGGACGCATGGAACCCTGTGGTGTGGTAGCTTCAAAGGCATATGGCATATACCTGCTTTTTGTCTGTCTGATACCCTCAAATGTCGTGTTTTTCTTTTGGGGTTACTTTTGCCATTTGCTTGCAGAACGTTGACCATTCATTATGGAAGCTGGGAACGCTACCACCTGGCTTGCTAGCCTTTAATGGGCTTACACATGCCATTGATCCATCATGGCATGTCCTTGGGCTCGGCTACAATCCCCATCTGGACATGACAGCTATTTCGAAGGCAGCGGTTATACACTGGAATGGTAACCAGAAGCCATGGCTGAAGATTGCATTGCCGAACTATCGGAGCCTCTGGACTAAGTACGTCAATTTTGATGACCCGTGGCTTTCAGAATGTGGTGTAACATGATGTAGCAACCCCACTGGTATTATATTGTGTATGGCGTCTCGCGTACGGTATCTCGTGTACGCTGCAGCAAAACTGTGAACGGGCCCGTTCCAATCTGGAAACGCGTGTGCTCGTAATGAAGATTTCATGATACAAACCAAGCCACATGGAAATGCTATGCAAGCACCAAAAGCACCCTTGAAAGTCCCGCACATTGCGGCTGGCCTGATTGTTAGGAAATCGTGTGGTTCGGCTGACAAAACCAGTCCCGCCGCGCGCCCACCTTCGATCGAGCGACACGTCCGAACTGAAGTGACGGACGCCGCGGCGCGCATTCCAAAAATCCACTGACAAGCCGCCAGGGCTGGGCAAACGTGCGATGGATTTTAGGATTCCCTGCAGTGAGAAATCGTGCATGTGGGGGACAACAGACTCAGAGCTTCTCGCATAGAAGCACCGTAATACTAGCACTCGCAACCGAACGTAACCCGATAACATTGAGCTTCCGTCAACAGGTTTCCCATTCAGTTTGAAGCAAATGAGGACAACCTTCCCATCCAACCGCCGTCTCTTGGTAAATATCCGTTGGCTTGCTTTGCGCCACATTCCTCCATTGACTTTCTGAAGCTTGTGCTTCGCTCTGCTATCATTTGCCTTGCACGAGATTACCGAGGGTTGAGCTGTCCTTGCAATCCTGGACTTCCGAGTCTTGAACCCGCTGCAAAGTCAAGAAGCTAGGACCGCCTTAGATATCCGAAGTTCCAAAGCACCGGTTTTCTGGCAGTTGTGGTTAGAACCATACATAAAATTTCTTGACATCACACTACCCATTTAGAGAGCTAAACCAGAAAGAGACCACCATAGTATACAGCTCAGCTTCGTTTCTTGAGAAGTGGTAATACGCCAGGAGATATGGCGGGAAGCCATCCGATGCCGGCCGACGAGGAAGAATTTCACGACGACATCCACGCAAACGCCATGCTCAACGCGGCGGAGGATTTCAAGCCGTCCGATTACAGCAACATCATCCGACGGTACTCGCACCTCGGCGCCACGCATCCGAGTAACCCGCTTACTGTCGCGAAAGCTGGCGAAGACGAAAAATCCGCCGGGGGGAAGACGCGCCGGTCGCAGTCCACAGGCGGAGGCGTGAAGAAGGGCAAGGGGTCATCTGTGGCATCGACGCTTGGGCGCGCAGCGGCGCGCGTTGGGAGGACGCTGGGCGCAAAGGGCGGGTCGCTCGCCAAGTCCAAGTCCTCCGTGGCGCCCCTTCAGGTAGCTTTAATCGCAGCCGAGTCTAGACCGGAACCTAGCTAACTGAGAGATGAGAGGGGCGGCGATGGGAGGGGTGCCGGTAGGTCCGCGGAGAAGCTTCAAAACGACGCAGGATAGCAACAGATTTTGGGGCGTCTCTAAACTAAGCGACGGAGACAGTGCAAAGCAGCTCGTAACCTGTCGACGGTGGATGCCAAGGCATCCCCAAAAAATGCTACAAATTTCTCGCCTTCTGCCATTCCTAGTTCATTTTTCTCCCTCATTCTTTCTCGTTCTGCCCGTCACTATCTCATTCACCAACTAGCTCATCTCGATCTCCCGTGCCTATGCCCCTCTCCCTCCGCCTCTGCTGGCAGTCCGACGATGAGTTCTCCAAGCAATCAGAGCAGCCGTCGATGCCCATCGTGCTGCAGCCGTTCATGGGATCGTACGGCTCAGAGGTAACGCGGGCTGCGTGTGATGATGCATTGCGTTCTGTCTTCATTGTCTCCATGGACTCTATTGTCTCCATTGACTCCATTGACTCTATTGACTCCATTTACTCCATTTACTCCCCCCGTACTTGCATTCACGCATTCTCCCGTTCGAGTTTTTCAAACTCCGATATCCGTCGTTGTTGCTGCTGCTGTGTAACCCGCCGACTGCCCTCTTTCCGCTCGTGTGTTTCGTACTCCCTCTCTGTTTGTCCTTGTCCCCTTCATTCCTCACTGAACCCACTCCCTTCCTTACTGGATTCACTAATGAGAATTCGCAAAAGTTTCTCAACCCAGTCCTGTCAAACTTCCCTCCTGTGCTCCACCATGTGACCTACCGAACCTGCTTTTCCTGTCAACGCCCAACCTCCTTCCATCGACTCGTGCCGAACCTCAACAGAAGCAATCGGAAGTGGTGAGTCCAGCCCGATGCTTTCGTTCGGCAATTTCCGAGTCGACTCGAAAAGCGAATCTTGGCTTCCGATGCTTCCGGTTGCCAACGCAATGCTCATTCCATTCCGAGAATGCCACACTGTGCCATAGCATGTCGTGCAATCGTCCCCGTCTCACGCGCTGACTCCTTGTCTGTCCATCCAACGGCGCGTTCGTGCAGACGAAGGCGCTGCAGGAGGAGAATCGACGGCTGCGGGAGAGGATCGCGATGCTGGAAGCCGTTCACGCAGAGGTGCGCGGAAAGGAGGTCGGGAGGGGGGGGGACATAGGGGAGGGAGTGGGGAAGAGTAGAAGCGCAAGGGAACGGGGGTTGAGGAAGAGGAAGAGTAGCGGCGTAGTGGGAGCATAGAGGGAGTCCTGAGTGCGAGTGCATGCAAGAAGTTCCTTAGGACGCGGTAAAAGTGCTCGATCGGGGGGAGATTGATCCGGTCACCGCACTGAAACCCCGCGTTTTGCATACGGAAGGTACACAACCGTTTACAACCACGCTAATAAACGATCCTGAGGCGATCGATTCTCCACTTTTACCGCGTCCTTTCAAGAAGGGGAATGCTCCTGGTTAAACGCGTTTATTCGTGTTCGAGAGAGAAGGGAGGGCGGTGAACGCCTACCTGTGGAGCCCCCGTCTCGTCCCTCCTGTCGTCCCTTTCAATATTCTCGCTATCTTTCATCCACCTCACCGCGCGTTCACGTTTCTCGCTCCCCCTCCACTCTCTCGCCTATACTTCCTCCACTCTTGGTTCCCCGTATCTCCTCTCCGTCCCTTTCCTCCTTACCGCAACGACTTGTCGCGCCGTCACTTACCTCGTCCCCTCCTTTTCCTTCCGTGATCCCCGTCGCACGTGTCGCACGTGTCGCAGGAGGCGGAGGAGAGCGACGACTTGGCGCGCCATCGCGTGCGAATGCTCAAGTCGTCAAACTTGCAGCTAGAGCAGCAGGTGAGCTCATGCTCAAGTCAGCCATATATTGCATGTATTGCTAACATCGCCTTACGCATCGGTAATGGCGCTTCTAGAGCTCTGCCTTTCTGAGAGGTGACGTCGGTCATTTTAACAGCTGCATTCCTGTTGAGGCAACGTTGTTGGTTCTCGCAAGCCATGCCACGTGTCTCCCCGTCTGTCCCGATCGTTCCTTTCCGCAACCAGCTGCTGAGCGCCATGAACACAAGTTCCCCCGCCCTCCACCCTATTTCCGCCTAGCCCAATTTATCCGCCTCCACCTTTTTTCCGCCTTCCTCCTTCCCCCTTCCCCCCAACAGCTGCTTGCCTCCGAGTCCGCGTCGCTCACGGCGAAGGCGATTCGCAACGAGCTGCTGAGTGCCATGGACCATCTCCACCGTACCGTCGGCGCGCTGCACGTGCGCGCGGAGGAGGACGAGGCGGAAGGGGAGCAGGCGGAAGGGGAAGCCGCGGAGGGCGCGGGCGGGGCGGAGATGGGGAACTCGCACGCGGGGACTCTGGAACAGACATTGCTGCCAGCTGCCGCGATCTTATTGGACGACGCGCAGCACGCCGCGGTGCAGGAGGAGAAGGGGAGCGCAGGCGAAGCGGTCGCGGCGGCGGCGGTGGCGAAGGGGGTGAGCACGGTAGGCGCAGCGCAGCAGCCGCTGACGCGGCGGAACTCGTTCGGGGGACGCGGCTCCGCCGCGCTCGCTTCCGCCGCGCGCCCCAGCACTCCCACCAGCCGCGGCACCTCGTCGTTCGCTAGCGGCTCTCCACGTGCCACGACCCCGCGCGCAACGCCCTCCGCCGGAAAGGGGAGCGCGTCGCCCACGGTGGGCGCACGGCGCGGTGGCGCGGCGGCGGGGAGCGCGGGGAAGGGAAAGACCAGTGGCGGAAGCTTCAATGCGCGCGGGTGGGGAGTCGGCCCGGGGAAGCGGAACGGCGCGAACAATAAAACTGCGGACAAAAAGACCGCCGCATCTGGCGCCGCGAATGACGGAGACGGCGGCATGGATTTGACCTCTGCGGGGAGCCGCAGCGCGAGCATGAAAGACGGGCCGCTGGTGCTAGACCCCTCTATAGTCACATCTTCTGCTGTGTCCACACCTATGGGCACGCCGCGCGCGGGGAGTACTCCCGCGGGAAGCCCGTTCGCCGCGTCGGCCGCGGCAGCCACTCCCGCGCCAACACTTGGCAGCCTGCTGGCGGCGTCGGGCCAGGTGGCGATCGCGAAGGAGAAGCTCGAGGAGCTCGCGATGTGGAGCAAAGAAGCGCGGGAAAAGGTTCTGATGCTGCTGCCCGCGCCGGGCGGAAAGGTCGGCGAGCTGCCCGCGGAGGAAGGCGCGGGGAAGGCGGAGGACGCGGAAGCCGCGGGGGGAGCCGGCGGAGCGGATAGGACGAGCATGAAGGCGATGGGCGCACCGGAGCTGCCGTGTGCGGGGAACCGATTCATGGCGACAAACGAGGACGGCGACCCAGTCGCGGGCATCGCGGCGAACATTTGCCGCTCCATCGAAGGTGCGCCGCCCTCCCGGCGATTCCTCCTCCCCTATCTGTGTCTCTTCTCTTCCCTATCCGTCTCTCTCTCATATTTATGATTCCGCCGCTCCCCAATACCGCTCCTCTCTTCCCGGCCTTCCCTGCAGGGACCGCGCCGCTGCTGGAGTACGCGCGCGTGCACGAGCTGGAGGGGCGGCTGGCGGACCTCCACCCGCGCCTGCTCGCGCTCTCGTCGCTCCTCGATAATGTCGTCTTCCCCAGCCTGCCCGCCGAGGTGGGATGCGATGCATGTTCACCTTCGATTCTGTCGTCTAGGGTACCCACTCTACACCATAAAAACAAAAGGTCTGAAATGCTTATAACTTTTACCCAACCACGTGGTCTCCACCCTTTTTCCTTGGTAAACTCGACCTCCCCCTCCCCTCACTCTCCCTAACACCCCTCTCTCTGCTACCCCTCCCCCTCCTTATCTGTCTGCTGCAACTCTCCCCTCTTGTCCCCTCCCCCATTAACTTCTCACCCCCTCGGCTGCTTCTCCTCCCCCTCTCTGCCGCCCGCAGACGTCCAGCGCAGTGCTGCAGGAGATCCGCGTCGCCATCGCTGACGTGTACGACACCACGCGCGCGCTCTCCGAGCTGGCGGCGCTCGTGCCAGCAGGCGCACAGCTATTCGGCGTGGGAACCGGGGAGAGCCTGATGCTGGCAGCAGCAGCAGCCAGGGCGGCCGGAGCAGAGGAGGGAGGAGGAGGAGGGGTCGAGGGGGAGATGATGGAAGTTCAGCAGAGGCTGGAGTGGGAGAGGGAGAGGAGGAGGAGGGAGGGAGTGAGTGTGGCAGACCTCCCTTCAGTGGAACAGCTGCTGACAGCGGGGCTTGCCGGGATCGTGGGAGATGGGGGGGGCTTTGGGGGAGGGATGGGGGGCGGAGGGGAGGGGGAGGTGCAGGCGCGGGTGGCGGAGGTGGTGGGGAGGTGTCGCAAGGTGGAGGCGCTGTGGCGTGCGGAGATGTCGGGGCTGCAGGAGGAGATGGGGTTCTACCGTGGCTGCCACGCTGCCCAGGTGCGTGCGGTGCAGTGCGGTGCGGTGCTGTGCTGGGGTGTGTTGTGCTGCCTCTTAGGCATGCGGGTGCGTGCATTGCTGTGCGGAGATGCCGGGGCTGCAGGAGGAGATGATGGGGTTCTACCGTGGCTGCCATGCTGCTCAGGTGCGTGCTGTGCTGTGCGGTGCTGTGAGGTGCTGTGCTGTCTCGCATGACTGCCTCTGTCTGTCTCTCCAACCCCCAATGGTGCACAGGCATCGCACGTGAAGCAGATAGCATCAGCATCCAAGGACGCACTGCAGACTGTGCTGGGGCGATGCGCATGAGATGGGCCAGTTGTATTCTTAGACGACTCAAAACATTCCATGCATGCATGTGTCTCCTTCCACTATCCTCTCCCATCCACCCATTCCACAGGCATCGCACGTGAAGCAGATAGCATCAGCAGCAAAGGATGCGCTGCAGACAGTGCTGGGCGATGCACACGAGATTGTCTCTGCTGCCGCCACGTCCATCCAAAAGGTGCTGCTGCTGCCGCTTGCTGTTTTCCTTTCGCAGCATATCGTACCCGTTATACTCTTCCCAGTACACCATCCATACCCTTGAACATCCAGTGTATCCGCCTTTCTTTTTGTACCCTCTCCTGCTCTCTATCTGCCCTCTGTGTGCCCTCTCTGTTGATCCCTTCACCCGGGATAGCGGCGATTGCAGATTCTGCTGGCAGTGACCGACTTTGAGAGCGAGCCCACGCCGGAGATGATGCAGCAGCTCGCAGCCAAAGTCAAGGTGAGATCAAAGAAATTGCTGATGCCCTTTACTTGCCCTCGCTATCATCCCTTCGCCCCGAGTACAGCTGACAGAATATGAGTCTGATACTGAGTTCACTAAATGAATAGAGATTTTCAGACATTTCGGTTCTCTCACCTGTTGTCACCCTTGCCTCTTTTTCCTTTCCTTCCCCCCCACACGTACCCCCCTCTCTCCCATCCCCTCTCACGTCCCCTCGCCTCCTCCCACACATCAGGAGGAGGCGGGCACGCTGAGGCGCTTTGCGGAGTTGCTGCCGCAGGCCTTCTCAGCCGAGGCCAAGGTGGCCGAGGTGTTCGACCCGCTGGAGCGCGAGTTCAAGGAGAGGATGCAGGTGAGGAGGGGTGCAGCGTGGTGAGGAGGGAACATGTTTGGTTGTTGGTGATGTGAGTGAACAGGTGTGTGAGAAGCGAGGCCAAGGTGGCGGAGGTGTTTGACCGGCTGGAGTGTGGGGTGAGGGGTGGAGAGAAGAGGGGAGAGGCGGTGCAAGTGTGGGAGGGGTGCGGGCAGAGGGGAGAGTGGGGGTGTGGTTTGAGTAAATGGGTGTGTGAGAGGCTATGCCAAGGTGGCAGAGGTGTCTGACCCTCTGGGTGTCTCACTGACTCGTTATCTCTCCATCTCACTCGAAATGTCGCTGGGTCTCTCCCTTAATCCCACGCACACCTTCCCCAACCGGCAGGCTGTGTTTGAGACCCTCCAGGCTCGGCGAGCAGCGCTGGCTCGGCAGCGCAATGAGCTGCACGGGCAGATCAGCGGGCGGTTTGCAAACCAGTCTGGGCAGCAGGGGAAGGGCAAGCTAATGCGGGTCATTTCCCTGCTGCAGCAGTAATGTCTAAATAGGATACTGAGGTGAAAATACAAGTAGAATATTGACTTGTTTGGTTTGTCTTTTGATACTGACATTAGTTTCTGCTCTCTTTTATATGAACATTCAGGTAGTTCTTTGATAAAGCTGTCTGTTCCTAGTAGCACTTGCCATTCATGCGAAGCCCACCAATACATGCCTACCTCCATCCTTGGGCTTGCGACCAATTAGTGGAAGTACATACTAGATGGATCCATCCCTTCCATTCCATGTGCCCAATACGTGCCCATGCTTACAGGAGTCAACTCAACTACTGAAATGATTGGCATCGAATAAACTAATGGGTACAGGAACATATTGTGTTTTGATGTAGATATCACATTATAGCACCCAGCTCAATCCAAACGTAAATGAATATTATATCGTTTCTCAGTATGATTTAGACGTTTGTAAGGAAATTTCCTTTTCCTTACTTCGCGTCCCTGCTCAGCGCGTACATCACTGACAGCACCCCACAATATTCCGTTACCACTCGCGACATTCGCCTCGACACCATTCCCGCCACTGTTCACGATGCGACCCAACCTCACGGTTCGGTTGGTAACCCGCGCTCCGGACTTCCGCCTCGACAGTCCCCAACCTCGGCACCAGGCCCGTCGCGCACCCCAATTTCCCACGTTACCGTTACCACCGTAGCTTCGTTATACATTCTTCGCTCAATCCTTCGCTCATTGTATTCTTGTCTCGATAGTGCAATCCTCGCTCGCTCACTCAATTGCACTCGTAACACTTGGTATCAGAGCCTACGATCTTCTCTCGGACCGCACCCACACCTTCGCTTCCCACTATCTCAATTTTTTGGGGGGGGTAGACGCCCCTCAGCGACCAAGCACCGCCGCTCGTAGTGCTCTCTCGTAAGCACGCACGACCATGACAGAGGCTCTCGCTGAGCTCGCCCGACACCCCCGCCATGGCAGAACTTAACGTCGCAACATTGACACAGGAGCAACTCGACCGGCTCGTGCGCCAACTTGAAGATTCGGCGCTCGAAATCGCCACACTCACGGCGGAACGCAACTCCGCTCGCCAATAATCGACAGTGACTGCACCAGCACCAACAAACGCACTTGCACAATCCGAGGAGCCGATCATTATCTCCTCCGGCACACCGACACAGAACGACAACGTGGGACAGCGCTCAGGCGTAGCCAGTGAGGGCGCCGCTCACTCAATGCCTGACATGGAGAGAAACAGAGTCACACCAAGCCCACGGGAGCCCCGCGAAGCCCATCGGCACGTAGAATTTGCAGCGGCAAGTGGCGAGTACGCCATCACGGCACCAATGCCACTCAAGCCGCAGCGTCCGCTCTGTTTCGACCGAAGCCAACGTGGAGGTCCGACGGTTCAGTCGTGGGTCTTCACGATGAATGTTTTCTTCGACGCCAACTACGTCGAGTCGGACGCAGCGAAGATTCGCTACGCTGTTTCGCTGCTGAGGGGCCCTGCCATGGACTGGTGGCGAGTCATCGTGACATCGCCTCGCGCCTACGAGCCACCGTCGCAAGAAGACGGGCCCACGGGCCCAGCCGTTACCTGGAGTTCATTCTGCGAGACAGCCTAGTACAGCACGTGGGATGCGTGGTGCGCAGGGCTTCGGGCGCGTTTCGAGCCGATTGCGGCTTCGATTTCGGCGCGTCAGAAGCTGCGTACTTGGCGGCAGCTCGGGTTGGTTCAAGACTACACTGTCAAACTTATATGCTATAGTCTGTTTAGGCTGTATTGGGGTAGTTCTTATAGGGTACAACACTTTTAGGTTTCCTACTTGTACCCACCTGCTTTCTAGTTCAGTGATTCATTCGTTCCATATTCTAACATGGTATTCTGAGCAGGTTCCCTCGTGGGAACGTTTTTTTTAGGGCCCACCACGAGAATTTTTTTTTCCTGCCCTGCCCGAAGCGCGCCTCGCGCACGCCTTACCTGCGCCGTCGCGCGCCCCTCCCTAGCTGGCCCGTCGCGGCCCTGCCTCAGCCGGCCCGTCCCGGCCCCTAGATGCCCGTCGCTGGCCCGTCGCCACGCGTCGCGGCCCTGCCTTAGCCGACCACCGCGGCCCCGCGCTGGCCTGTCCCGACCTGTCCCGGCCCGTCTCGGCCCGACCCGGCCCGTCTCGGCCCGTCCCGGCCCGTTCCGGCCCCTTTGCCGCCCGTCATCGGCCCGTCGCCGCCCGTCGTCGGCCCGTTCGCCGCCCATCGCGGCCCGTTCGCCGCCCGTCGTTGGCCCGTTCGCCGCCCGTCGCGGCCTCTGCCCCGTTCGCCGCCCGTCGCGGCCTCTGCCCTGCAGCCGCCCAGTCGCGGCCTCTGCCCTGCAGCCGCCCGTCGTCGGCCCATTCGCCGCCTGTCGCGGCCCTGCCCTGCAGCCGCCACCTGTCGCGGCCCTGCCTTGCTGCCGCCCCAGTCGCGGCCCTGCCTTCGCCGCCAGTTGCGGCCTCTGCCCTGCAGCCGCGCTGTTGCGGCCCTGCCCTCAACCGCCAGCGGCGCCCCTGCCTTGCACCCGCCCCTGGTAAGCACCTGCCCTGCCGCGCCGCGCCGCCTGCTGCCGCGCCGCGCCGCCCGGAACCGAGCCTCACCGCCCAGCTGAGTCGCGCCGCCCAGCCGAGCCGCGCCGCCCCACCGAGCCGCGCTGCCCAGCCGAGCCGCGCCGCACTGCCGAGCCGCGATGCTCCTCTGCTGCCACTACTGCTACTGTTGCTACTGCTGCTACTGTTGCTCCTGCTGCTACTACTACTACTGCTGCTACTGCTGCTATGGCTAGCTCTACTGTTCTCACATTTGATGCTGAGGGGCGTGCAATTGACTTTGACGTGTGGGTTGATGACCTGCAGCTCTTTCTTCAGTGTGACTCTAGGGATGGGGTATCCCTTTTCGATCACACGTCCGGTGTCTCTACTGCACCTGCTGCCACTGCTGACAGTACGGTTCGCTCGCATTGGACCACTCGTGACGCTGTTGCTCGTCTTGCTGTTCGTAGTCACCTCCCGCCTGCTGAGCACGCGCACTTTGGCCAGTACAAGACTGCTCAGTCTTTGTACAACGCTGTAGTTGCGCGCTACTCCTCCCCTGCCACTGCTGCCCTCAGCCGCCTCATGCTGCTGTACCTTTTCCCTGACCTTGCCGCCTTTGCCACAGTTGCTGACCTCATTACTCACCTCCACACGCCCGCTACCGCGCAGCCCTTCCCACTGAGTTCTTTGCCAAGAACCCCCCCCCCCCATGTACATCACCCTTTACTACCTAGTCACCCGCCTCCCTGACTCCCTTGCTTCAAACAGGGACCACTTTCTCTCCCTTTGCCCCACCGAGATCACTGTCGACCTGCTAGAGGAGCGCCTCGCTGGAGCTGAGAAGAGTATCTTAGCTGTAGGTGCTTCTCGCGGCGACCGTCGCACCCCTTTCTTTGAGGGGTGTTCCCCTGTCCCCCTTCTCCCCTCTGTTGCTTCTGCTGCTACTGTCGACCTCGTTGGCACTGAGGAGGTCGGGGCTGCGTCTGCTCCCAGTGGGAGGCGCCGCAACAGCAAGGGCAAGGGGAGCAAGGGTGGTGGAGGGGACGGCGAGGGCAGCGGCGGAGGCGGTGGAGGAGGCGGAGGGGGTGGCGGTGGAGGTGGGGGTGGTGCCGGGAGTGGGGGCTTCAGTGGCGGCGGTGGAGGTGGTGGAGGCAGCGGCAGCGGTGGTGGAGGCAGCGGCAGTGGTGGTGGAGGTGGCGGCGGCGGTGGTGCTGGTCGAGGTGCAGCCGCGCAGCGTGGAGGCTTTGGTGGTAGCCAGCGCCAGCAGCAGCCGCGTTCCCGTGAGACCCCGTCGCCCCAGCATCTTCGTGAGTGGTACGCTGGGCGTGGGAGGTCTGGGGGTGCTGGTCCCTGCACTTACGTTCTTCGCACCGGCGGGCGTCGTGGGGAGACGTGCGGGCTGCCACACACTGCGCAGCGCTGCTTCGGTCGCCTGACTGACGCCTGGCGCGCCCAGTTTCCTGACACTGTTGAGCTCCCTCGCTGGGGTGATATGCTTAAGCAGCATGTTGCTATCTTTGATCTTGACTTCGATGCTATCCTTGCTGCCATGTATGCTGTGACTGATAGTGCTGAGGGTGACTGTTACCTGAGTGTCCCGCCCGACCCGGGCATTGAGGCTGCTGCTCTAGGTGCTAGTGCGTCTGCTGCTCCAGGTACTGGTGAGTCTGCTGCTCCAGGTGCTGGTGAGTCTGCTCTCTCTGGTACTGCACCTACTGAGGCCTTGCACACTTTCACACTTGACTCTGGTGCTTCGCGCTCCTTCTTCCGCGACAGCACCACACTCATGCCGCTCAGTCGGCCTGTCGCAGTCTCCCTGGCTGACCCCTCTGGGGGCCCAGTCCTTGCGCACTCTTCCACGGTTCTATCGTGTCCTGCGGCCCCGTCGGGCTTGCTGTCCGGACTCCACCTCCCCTCGTTCTCTACGAACCTGGTGAGTGGAGCTGACCTCCAGGACGCGTGTGTCGACCAGTTCACCCCTGGAGGTCAGCGTGTGACCCACTGCACTTGCTCTAGGACGGGCCGCCACCTGGCCACGTTCACCCGTCGGCCTGGGTCGAGTCTGTACACACTGACTACTGCGTCTCCTCCGGTCACTGCGTCTGGTCAGGTAGCCGCGTCTAGTCAGGTATTTGCTGTCGCGTCCAGGTCTAGTCCAGAGTCACCCCTCCCTGCCTCGTCTTCGAGGTATGGCCTCCCGTACCCTTGTCTCGGGTCTCCCCCGGTCCCTCCCTCCCCTTCCTCCGGGGCCTGCCCCTACCGTGTTCCGTGTGTCGAGGGCCGGCAGCGCGCCGCTCCTCACTTCTCCACGTTCCCTCCGACGGAGGCTCCCCTGCAGACTCTTCACATGGAAGTGTGGGGCCCAGCCCGCGTCCGTGGAGAGGGTCACGAGCGTTACTTCCTGCTGGTCGTTGACGACTACTCGCGTTACACCACAATCTTCCCCTTGCGCAGCAAGGGTGAGGTC